ACATTGCTAAGACCCGACCTAAAAAAGTTGTAAACCAAAAAAAAAACATAATGAGTGCAAGCAGAATGGGTCGTTCTGCTTGAATAACGGGTCGTTCTGCTTGGAGAACGGGCCGTTCTGATTGAAGCACGGGCCGTTCTGCTTGGAGAATAGGTTGTTCCACATGATATTAACTAATATATTAACAAATGATGATCCACCCAAACACGAAGAAGAGGATAATATTAACTAATATATTAATAGATCAATACATACATTTATTTTCAACAAATTAGCTAATATATTAAGAAAGGATTTTCCAAATTAACCTCAAACGCGAGCCCAATGCAATCGGTCAAAAACTCAAGAACCACCCAAACGCCCAAACGTACACTCAAATGCAATGCACTCAAAAGAAATGTTAACTCAGAAGACTCGTTTTGCACATACACTCAAAGATCTGTTGTTTAAATATTGACGCGCGCGAAGAAGAGGAAGTGGCGCGGGGAAATTTGTAGATATTTTACGTCGGACCTCATAGGGGTCAACGTAAATTGGAAAATCTACGTCGGACACAAGCTATATCCGACGTAGATTTTCAAATTTACGTCGGCCCCTATGAGGTCCGATGTAAAAAACTTGATTATAATTTCAAAAATGTCACTGCATTTTTTTAACGTCGGATTTTTCTCTATCCGACGAGAATACAGTGACGTAAATTTCATATTTTGTACTAGTGAAAGAAAATGTGTTTTCTGAGAAATTTCAGGCAGGCCTTTTACTAAAACCTTTTTGGTTTATTTTGAAATGTGTTTCATATTGACATGTACAAGCTTTTTGAGCCAAATCCATTTTTAATCTTCTCTAGATACTAAACATGTTACATTCTGTTTGCTCAAACTAGTCAAATTGATCTCATAGAGATTATTCTTTCTCTAAGTAATAAAAATATAGATTCATCATCTTGTTTGACTATGCATACATTTTTGTCAAAGACTACTGTATACCACTATCACAAAATTGATGTATGCTAATTAGAAAAATGTTATACTTTAGGCCTTCAACATATAAGACATTATTTACAATAGGTATAGAGTCTTTACCTATCTTACCTATACCTTTGATTTTGCCTTTTCACTTTCAAAGGAGACTGATCCTTCATGTGGTTGGAGCTCTAGGAACATAGATCTTTCTCTCGTCATGTGTCTTGAACACCCACTATCCAGGTATTAGTGGGAATGATTTCTTTTTCCCAATAAGGATATCTACAATAGAGATTATTTGAGATTTTGGTACCCAGATTTTCTTAGGTTCTTTTCTTTTAGTCCCATTCCCTTGGTCATATTCGTTTATCTACCTAGAGCTCTATCTTCATAGGTTTACAAAGAGAGACCTTGGCTTTACAAAGAGAGACCTTGGGTTTGGCTTGAGATGTCCCTAAACTAGGGTTAAAGCCAAGACCACTTTTGTCAAATGAAAGTCTTTAATGCTTTAGAAGTATGTTTAACATAGAACATCTGTCAACAAACTTGACTAAGTCTTTCCTGAGTTATAGGTTTTCAACTTCTAATGTTGTAACCTTAAGTGGGATGAAGCTAGTGATCTTTTCCTTGAGAGACTTTATCTCCCCTATAGCGTTTGACATTTCCTCCTTCAGTTCAAGATTTTTCTTTTTCTAAGATATTTTTTTTTCTCTTTAAGTTTCTTTTATTTAAGAGAGATCATGTGAAATTTTGTTGGGAGAGTCTCATAGGACATCTCATCATCATCAAATTCAAATGATTAAGAGCTAAAGTTAGATTTTACCTTTACATTTGTAGCATCTAACTCAGTGTTTGCCATGAGGCATATGTTGGCCTTCTCATCTTTTGAACTACTATTTTCGCTACTATCCAGATCCTCCTAGGTGGCCATTAGACTCTTTTTGGCCTTCCTTTTGGAAGACCACCTCTTCCATTGTGAAGGGCAATCAATCTTCATGTGACTAGGCTTCTTGCACTCATAGAAAACAACTTTTTTGTTGTTAGTTTGACTGAGCTTTCTGAACCTGACCATCTTTCTGTGGAAGTTTCCCAATCTTCCTTTCTTCTTCTACATGTCTTTGAACTTCTTAGACATGAGAGATATATCATCGTCTATAGAGTCCTCGGAGTTATCATTTGAGTTGTTGAGCTCAAATTATACCTTAAGTTCTTTCCCTTTTACTCTTCTCTTACTGTTCTCATCACCCTTCAAAGTAATAATGTCATTTGCTTTAGGGTGATCTCTATTGTTCAAATGAACCTTATGAATTTATAAAGCACTAAGAAGTTCATTAAGAGTGAGAACGTTAAGATCATATGCTTTTGAGATGGTTATGGCGTTGGGTTCCCAGATCTCAGGGAGACTATCCAAGATCTTGAAATTATTTTAAGCTTTGGAGAACTTGGTTCTCAGGGATTTTAAACCATTTAGAATCATTTGGAATCTTCTAAATAGTTCGTCTATGGATTCATTTTCTTTCATGGAGAAAAACTCATAGTGTCTTTGAAGGTAGCTCATCTGATCCTTACATCTTTAGTACCCTCATGAGTTACCCTAATGACATCCTACATTTCTTTAGTTATTGAGCAACTATAAAACTTGTTGTACTTTGTTTTGGATAAAGAGCAAGCAAGGATGTATCTTACTTTGGTATTGAGTTGCAATGTGTTGTATTCCTGAGGATATTCATTCTCATGGCTTGGTAACAGAAACATCACCTTGAGTGATGATTCTCCAAAGGTGGTATTGGATGGATTTAATGAACATTTCCATTCGATCCTTTCAATACAGGTAGTCCACTCCATTAAAGGCAGGGGCCTTGTAAGAGAGGCTCCTTCTGGTAGATATTGTCCTTCATTGTTTCTCATAATGGATCATTGTCCTTTAGCATGGTTAGATGCTCAACCCTGTCAAAGATTGAGCTTTGATACCAAACTGTGGAGAAAAGATAAACACTAGAAGGAGGGTTGAATAGGATATAACAAAAAATTGCACGTTTTCTGCAGTGAGGTAGTAACGCTAGTCAGATGCAACAAGAAGAATAGTCATATGGAACATTAAGTATTTTTATAAAAACATTTCTTTTTGTTAGCATTAAAACTTTGAGTTTAAGGGGTTACCTTTCGACTTAACATCTATGTCGAGAATAAAAAGATTTATAGTAAAGAAAGACTATTCAACAAAAGAGTGAAATCAAATAATTTAGAAATCAAAATAGGAATGAAATTATATAGTTAAATAAAAGTAAAAAGAAATATTGAGAAATACATTTTAGAGCATTCAGATATGAGAAAACAAAATTTAGGTCTAAATACATAATATAAGAGGTGAATTTTTGTAGAACATCCAATTTCTTTCCTTATTGTGATATGAATGTAGTTATTAGAAGTAAAAACTAAAAATTTATTATTAATTAATATCATTCATTTAAAAATAATTTAAATTTATTAATTAATTAATAGAGTTAAAATTGAAATATAAAAGTGGTTTTTGTAGAGTGTTCAAGATGGCATGACTTCATAAATAAAGTTAATGACAACATGACTTAAAAATAACAAATATTCATGCTTATGTGTCGATTTTATAGTTCACTTTTCAATTTTTATATTATAAAGAGATAAATGTGATCGTATTTTCTATCATTATATACTATTTTATTCATATCACGAGTTAACACTGCTCAAACCAAAAACTGGTAATCTAATACAATAATTATTATAATAAAATACAATACCAATCTTAAAAATATGAGTATGATTTAACTCAGTCCTAAATATTCTTCTAGCTTGTCCATACTTTGTATTTGGCGCAAATTGGATCTGGATTTCGTGTGGTCAAGGATTGACGAATTCAAGAATCACTCGATCCAATTTATTAGATAATAAAGAAACTTCGTGGCACTTTTAATCTTATACATTTTTATAGCAACTGTTTTTGTTGGGTAACAATTTATTATTTTATAGCATCAAATTTAAGTTCTGTCAGAACTTTCATACATAGCAGTTGGCCCTTCACTTATAAAATCATTTTTCTTCGACCATCTATAAAATTTGGTGAGAATGAAAAGTTGGCTTATTAAAAATTATACTATAAATTAGTTTTGAAAGTGACATGGAAAAAAAATGATAAATTCGTTAAAGTATTAATTATTTGATACATATTTAATTAATTTTATTTCTAACAAGATTCTCATCATTTTAGTTCTTACATATAAAATATCAATATATATATTATATAAACAATTACAAAGGCCATAAATATCCACTTCAAAATGTGAAGCAATCCGTGTTTGATAGATTCTGTTGTCTGGTTTTTCCACGTTGTTATGCTCTTATTTTGTTTTTATATTTTTAACTTAAATGGCTTGAAGTTTTTTATTCTCCTCATTTCTTAAATTTGTTTTGTCATTTTTTTATTAGTTTATGTAATTAATCTCTCCATAATTTTATTTATGTAATTTTAGTTCATTTACTAACTTTAACATCTAATATTTTATAAAAATATTGACATGATACTGTTACATTAGTATATAACACATGTTAATCCCACACTTTACTAGTATATCATATTGACAATTCTGTAAAATATTGGATGTCAGAGTTAACCAAAATTGTACATTCTTTTTTTTATTATAGAACCTACAAAATGGTCTTTTATGATTAGATTTATCTCAGATTTACATCATTATTTAATTTTTGCCTTATTAATTTGTTGATATGGATCTTAAAATAAATGCTTCATGTCGAAAAATGAAGATTTGAAACGCAAACTATAAACCGCACATTTGCAAGTGATTTAATAACTTTTCAATAGCAGGTGATGCGATTAGATAGACTCTGAAGACATTTTATGCTTAACTTAAACATAAAAAACGTGTGTATAAAGCGAGTTATATAACATATTAGACCAAAATTGCAAGCCATCTTTTTCTGTTGGCGTAAGACCCTTTTGTTTTTGTTTGTTATTTCTCAGTTTCTTGCATTTTAATCCTTAACATGTGTTAGATAATGGAGATTGAATAGCTTCATGCCCGGTAATATTTTAATTTTTCTTAATTATACGACTTTGGCTCCATCTTTGTCCCCATTGGTCTTTTTTCCTCGTTATTATTCACGTTTGTCTAAAGTTGTGGCCATAGGAAAAAGAACAAGTGTCCCTTGTCTTCGTATAAAACGTGAGAGACCAGACGTTGTGTTGTTCAAGTTCTATTTTGCATTCTCAAATCAAGGGCAAGTCCAAGAGTTTCTCTTTTGGCACTGTATGTTAGTTTCCAAAACCTTTGTTTTTCTCCATGTTTTGTGCTTCAAGACAAAGTGCCTTGTCATCTTTTCTGATCATCTTTTCTGGGTTTGAAATTGAATGATGCATGTAAAGTGATATAGTGAAACAACAAGTGTTGTTGTTGTTCTCTCACAAACATGGGAGAGGATAATGTCAAACAGCCTTTGTTGGAGAGGAAGTATTATGAGGACTGCCCTGGTTGCAAAGTAGATCAAGCCAAAGAGCTGAGTGAGGGACAGGGTGTACCCGTTAAAAATCTTTTGATCATATGGATTGTGGTGCTGTGTGCTGGTATGCATTTAACTCCATTTTGAGTTCTGAGTATTTTCACTTCTGAAAAAGTTGCTTGCCTTTTTGTGACATTTTTTGTGTTGGAAAGTCCATGTTGCCTTGTGGTGCAGCATACATGGCTGTTGAACTTCTCTTACAGTCATTTGATTTTTTAAGAACTTTAATATGGTATCAGAGTTTATACCACCATCTAACGCGTAGATCAACTGCTACATGATTGGAGTTTAAGTACCGGATACACAATTGTATTAAATATTCAGATGAGAGATTTTGCCGTTCATGGTAGTTTTACTTTACTTGAACAAAATTGTCTCTAACAGAAGAGCAGATAGTATTTACCAAAAAAAAAAGAAGAGCTTATAACTCATCCTTGTGTATAGCCTGTTTTTAATTACACTTTAGATGCATATGTTGCCTTCAGAGGTTGCTAAAATATTAAAAGTTAAGCCAGGTCGGCATAAAAGTTGGTGCCTACAAAACAGAAACAGAATAGCAATACTGGTCGTTTTTCTTGGAAATAAACATAAAAAAAAGGTCACCCCAATGCTAAATCGTTTTACGGAATTTCCAATTTTAATATTTTGAAAGGAAAATCAGTATTTGATAGTGTGTGTTACTAGTTGTCACTATTTTGTCCTTCTCAATCAGTTGAAACTACTTTGTCCTTTCTGATGTTACTTTATTTTCTTCTTTACAGCTCTGCCTATATCATCTCTCTTTCCATTCCTGTATTTCATGGTGAGTTTAACTATCATCTGGGATTTACTCTTACCTTTTGACTTGATGTATAATCTGACTTTTTGACATTGGTAGAAGTTGTGTGAGCAAATATTTATTTATTGAGTTCTTCAACTTCAGTTTTTATATATGTATTGATAATTAAAAAATGAAGATAAGAAGTGCACACACCCCTCAATTCTGACATCATCTCTTTTCTGGCCTTTCAAAAAGGAATTTAAGTATCAATTCCCTGTTTACACATCTTTATATATATAATATAAATAATTCTTTCCATAATGTTGGGTTTACTGTACTTGGATAAACTTATACTTCAAATCTTTGTTCCAGTCTTAAAAACAATTAAATTTTTTTGAAGAAAGTCATCTACCAGTAACTGGTCCCCACTACTACTAAGAAGGAAGAGCTGCATGAGGTGGTAGGTTTTTAATTTTGAAAAAAATTGCTATTAATGGAAAGTATGTTTTATTGCGAATAGCAATTTACTCTTTGGCCAATGTGAATAATTTTTACTCCTCCAATGAGACCACTTATACTTAAACAAATTGCAATTTTGGTGATCAATGGTCTCAAGAAGTGCATAATGTTCAATCCAAATAATTTAGAAGCCTCTGACTCTGAGTCATTAATCAGAATATTTTTTTCAATATACCAATCCGCATAAAAAAACATGAACTTTCTAGTAGTTCAAGTACCTCTAGTAAATTTTTAATTTCTTATTGCTCTCCCTTCTGCTTTGTCATTTGTAATGAAATATTCATGGAATCAAATCTTTCATTAATGTTTAACTTTATACTGATGCACATAACATAATCCTCAACAATGAAACATATATTTTCAGGTAAGGGATTTTAATATTGCAAAAACAGAAGCTGATATTAGTTCTTATGCTGGTTATGTGGGTACGATTTATCATTTCCGTTTTTATAAGTCTTAACAATTCTAGCAAGTTATTTATTAGTGATGCCTGTATGATAAAATATGTTGTAGGTTCTGCATACATGCTTGGAAGATGTTTTACATCTGTATTATGGGGAATTATAGCTGATCGCTATGGAAGGAAGCCTGTTTTAATTATAGGGATTATTTCAGTGTAAGTATATATCTTAATGAATTGGAATTTGGAAGCTTTCTATAAGTTATGTTGTGCACCTTCCCATAATTATCAATGCTTACTTGATTTCAGAATCATTTTCAATACACTATTTGGCCTCAGCACAAATTTTTGGATGGCTGTTATCATGAGATTTCTTCTGGGAGTTTTTAATGGTTTGCTTGGACCAGTGAAGGTATCATATTTTTAACTCCTTATAGTTAGCACTTTCATGTTTCATCTACCAGCATCAGGATACAAATTTTGAATATGTGTGCTGTGCACTAAAATTGGATATATAAGTATATAACTTGTTCAAACTTCCATTTGTACATTTATTTGCCTGACTTCTCCATTTAACAGGCCTATGCCGCTGAACTTTTTCGAGAAGAACACCAAGCTATAGGACTCTCAACTGTAAGCATCACCAACTCTTACACTATTAGTTATTAGAACTATATCACTAAAAATCCAAATCCTGTCACATATTTCCACAATAATAATTGAAAGTGTGATTTGCTTTTAGGTCAGTGCAGCTTGGGGCATAGGTTTAATCATAGGCCCAGCATTGGGAGGTTATTTGGCTCAGGTACTATCTATGTTCTTTGCCATCTGGAGTATAACTATAAGATGCATCTTGCATAAAGCCTTGAATTTTGTATATGTTTGTGATGTAATTATGTTAGGGCATGCAATGGGCAGCGAAAGTATAAAACATAAAAACCATTAAACAGAGAAGAGGAAAGGCCATGAAACAGAGCAATTTTGTATTTTCTGAATAACCATACCATTTTACATATTTTTCATTCATATATAAGGCAAATACATGAAAAATGACAGCCATATATAGAGCCCGTAAATGGTGTCAGCATGTCCCCACCATCATTAAGTATATAGTTTTGCATAAACTCAGATACCTAGCAAGATATTACCCACTGGAGTAAGCAAGCATAATTATAACAAAACTTTACCCACTAATACAAACAATAATAATTAATTACAACCGTAAAAAATCAAAGGAAAAGTTTTACTGCTCTAACGAATTAAAATGAATTGTTTTGATTGAATTGAAAGAATTATGAATTTTTGTAAAGGTTGATGCCTGAAATTCTGTATTTAAATGAGGAAGAGAATTTTTTGAAATAACCCATCTTCCATCATAAAAAAAAAATGGTCTTTCGCATCTATTTAACATTTTATTGTTAAGTACTTAAGTTTCTGTGCAAGTGTGCATGCACAAGGATTGTGACAGACATTTATGTTTACATTTATCACTTGTTTCTTTAATGTTTGGGAAATTTTTCATTGTAGCCTGTAGAGAAGTACCCTCATGTATTTCCAAAGGATTCCTTTTTGGATAAGTAAGTGGACTTTTGGATTTAATTTTTCTCTCGCCTTTGTCTTTCTGTCCTTTTATTCTTTAATGATGTGCTGATTTTCATTTTCCCAAACATAAATCATTTTTCAGGTTTCCATACTTCTTGCCCAGCTTTATAATAACAGTATTTGCAGTTGTAGTAGCTATTGTCTGTATCTGGATTCCGGTAAGTATCTCAGGTTCTAACATATCTGTTCATTGAATGTATATGTTTCTATCTTCATGTTTTGTGTTTTTTATTATGACATTTTATAATGTAGATCCATTTTTATATGATTTTTTCAACTCAGTTGTGCTTTGTCTTCATTGTGTATATTTTCTAGTCTGTCTCTCACATCAATATAATTGTTTAAAATACCTGCAGGAAACACTTCACAACCACAATTGTAGTGATGAATCCATAGACAATGCCGAAGCTTTAGAAAATGGAAGCAGTGGGGCAGCTAAAGACAAGATAATCCGAAAGAATGAAAACCTCCTCCTGAACTGGCCCTTAATGTCATCTATCATTGCTTATTGTGTTTTTTCACTTCATGATATTGCTTATCAAGAGGTATGATACTTAATGATGTTAAAAATGGTCTTTGCAACTCCTTTAATACATGTTTGTTTGGATTTTCATGATTTTAATGCATTTTTATGTCAAAAATATTCATTCATCATGCTTTCTTTAGGTTTTCTCCTTATGGGCTGTCAGTCCTCAAAGGCTAGGGGGTTTGAACTTTACAACGGATGATGTTGGTAATGTTCTTGCAATATCAGGTGCATCTCTGGAACTAACAACAGATGCTTATTACTGTTGGCCTTACATGTTTCCTTCCTAACTTGCTTTCAAATATCATATCTTTGAGTGCCTAAATCAAGACTAGTCAGTTGTTATATATAGTAAAAGAATTCTTTGATCCCAAAATGTTATATTGTTTGGTCAAATTGAACTCCAAATGTTGCAGTACATCTATTCAGGCCCCTATTTCTTTCCAAATTTTGTAGTTATAAGTGTAACACTCCAGAATGCTATAAAGTTGACAGCAAGATTCTTTTATCTTTATATAATAGGAAGCAGGATTCATGAACAATATGCAAGTTTGCATGATAATCAGTTTGGAACAGTATTGACAAAATACAATAGCACCTGAACCATATTAAATTTATTTCTTCTGTCCTATACTTTTAGCAAAAATTGTTTGTACTTCGGATTTGAAAGTGACAAAGATTTAGAAAAATTGTAGATTTAGTGTTGTTTTTTGTCTTCCTATTGAATAATAGCTATTATGTATAATTACTTCTCAAATGTTCAGGTCTTGCACTTATAATTTACCAACTTACCACATACCCATCTGTGGAAAAAGATTTTGGACCTATTGGTATTGCCCGTATTTCAGGGGTGAGTTTTCATCTAATTGTGGCAATTATTGCATTTCAATTTTTGTTATTTGAAATATGTGCTGTTACTTTGGTCCCATATGCAGATGTTATCCATACCTCTTTTGCAAAGCTACCCCTTCATAGCATTGTTGTCAGGCTTAGCATTATACATAGTGATAAGTATTGCTTCAATTCTGAAGAATGTTTTGTCTGTAAGTGCACCTCTATTTATTTAATCATTTATTTGTAACTTTGAAGGTTTAAAATTGAATTCGATATACTGAAATTCAGTTTGTTAGAAATATGACTGATTGTACTCGTTTTTTTTTTTTATTCAGACAACTATTATAACTGGTTTGTTCCTTTTGCAAAACCGAGCAGTGGTAAACTTTTGGATAATTTCATTGTCTATAGTTTCTATAAATGGTTAAGACTAGTTGTTGATGATGCCATGTTGATTTGGAAAACAGGAACAACACCAAAGGGGGGCAGCTAATGGCATTTCTATGACAGGCATGTCTCTGTTCAAAGCTATTGGCCCTGCTACAGGTGGTGTCATGTGAGTGTTCCTATAATTTCTTCGGCTTTTGTTCAACTTACCTGTCAGTTCAAATATGTCAATCTAGACATCTAAACGGGATAGATATTTCAAACGATAATTGCTATACCACTTGCATTTCAATGTACGGGTTTTTTCATATATGATCTGTAATAACATAGATTAATCAAATTCATCTGTGCTTGAAACTTCATGCTAACTTCCTTTATGATATGGGTTTTTCATGCCTAACTGTTAGTTCACTAGATTGAATGATATAGGTAGCCTGTTTTCTGTTAATACCTTGAGCCTTATTGGTGTATTAAGATATTTAATAGAAATTACCCTCACTCCACTTTAATCCATTACCAGTTAACAGTTTTCTCATCAGTAGAAGTTTTTAACCACATAATTTCTGACTAAACGTTTGATACATTAAAAATTATCTCCAATTTTCTTATATGATCATGGTGAATGCAGATTAACTTGGTCACAAAAGCGGTTGGATGCTTCATTCCTCCCAGGTATGATGCTCAACTAATTTATTTGTGCTGATTTCTGTTTAATTTATGGCAGAAGGGAACCTTTAAGGATCTATTGGGATAAACTTCTCCACAAGTATTCATAAAAAAAGAAAATATCATGGAAAAATGTAATAAGCTTGTCCAAAATTAAAAATTAGTAATACATAAATTAATTTGTAGGAGCTCTCTCATAGTATTTTTTCAAAAATATATTTTTTTAACTTGTATAGACAATTTTATCTTATGTAGAAGCTTAATTTATTTTTTGTAACTTTAATGACAATAGTTTTTCTTCTCACATTTGGCAACAGCTAAAAGTCTTTTAGTCTTGAACAGAGCATAGTTTCTTTTACTAGAGCTTAATTACTGTTGTACATTTAACTGCAGGCACACATATGGTCTTCTCTATCCTGAATATTGTTGAAGGAATTGGAATACTAATGCTTTTCAAACCATTCCTTGCTGAAAAGAAGAAAACTCACTCAGATCAGTTACATTGATACCAATCCATTTTGCTTAAGTCATTATAGCATATTCTCAGTTGTTGTGTATTATTGCTCAGTGATGGTAACTGGTGCATCAACTTAGTCATCACGGGGACCAACGATGATTGAAGCTAATTGATGGAACCAATTCAATATGTAACTTTCCAAGAAAATAATAATGAAAAGAAAAAAAAAAAACATCACAAAAAATAACAAACTAGAAAGAACAAGTGATAACAATAATTTAAAAAAGAATACAGAATGTTTACGGTCCACCAACTCCTTTTTATTGGTTTTTGTCGGGTTCTTAAATAAATGACACAATTATCGAATTATTTGAATTAACAATTTTTTGTTTGTCTTCCATTATATTGAATCTCAAGTGTGTGTATATATGAATTTAATTGGAGTTAATTATTCATTAATGTTATAAAGGTTTTTTACTGGCATCTAACTATAGATAATCAAATAATTAATAAGTATATTAAAAAAATTAAAATAATTTAAATAGTCGACTTTAACGAAATTTTTTATGGTAAAAGTATATCAATCAAAATGAAATGTTATTTATTGTAAATATCAATCAAATCATAGGAATATATAGCTAGCGAGTATATGAATGACTAGGGCCCACTCTCAAATATTTGTATAAATGACTGTTGGAACCTAAAAAATTTCAATCTTGCTCACAAATAGTTTGAACTTTCGTTTGAAAATTTCATTAATTAAAGAATGTCCAAAAATCAAACTAATCCTTAACCAATAGTTTTAGAAAAAAGTTTAAAGGAGTCACCACCGATATTTTACTCAAAATATCAGAAAAAAAAAATTAAATTACCAAAATGGGCCTTATAGCCAGAATTAGGTTCAGGGGTCGTTTACATGTAGGAAATGTATTAGGCACCCTACAATGTCCTAAATCGGTACCCTATGATGAAATTAGCATAATAAAGAAATAATAGTTTGAATATTTATTCCCCTTTTTAATCATTATTTATGTGTTAAATTATGATTATTTATATATATAAAAAATAAGGGGGTTAGACCCCATACGTTTGAAAATGGTATGTCTATATGATTACAGTTTTTCTATGGCAAAGTCATGTATATAAAGCAGTTTTAAATAAAAAAGAGAGATGAGAATTACTAAAAAATACCTTTGAAGTGAGCTTTTATAGTATTCTTCTTTCAAATGTGGGGGGCAGGGGGTTAGGCGTTTTTTAACAGCCTTTCGCACTAACAAATGTTCTCACAATACTTAAGAAATGCAAGAGAGAAAGAGAGAGAGAGAATTTTTTAGAGCTATATAGGACCCTAGTAGGAAATTTCCCCTTAGCACGAGTCTCGTATTTATAAACGTCAAACTTAACTGGATTGGCCGTTTTGATCACCGAAACGGGTTATTTTGGATTAGTTTGTTATGAGCAATTTTTGAATCTGGAATAGCCCATTCTGAAATTGAAACGGCCCGTTCCGAATTTGAAGTTAACTCAAAATAACCTGGGTCAAAATGGCCTGTTCCGAATTGGGAACACCCTATTTTGACCTAGGGTTTCTAGGCCATTTTAGAAGTTTGGATGGCCTGTTTTGGGCTTCTAATTCATTCTTTTTGGGTTTTCGGGCCTTCTGATATCATCCTTATCCATTCTGATGCCAATGAGTCATTCTGATGTGACATTGGTCCATTTTAACATCATATTCGAGCCTTTAGGAACTCCTTTGTATCGTACTAAAGGCTCATTTCCTTGTTTGCATGTAGTAGACACCTAATTTCATCTAGGACATGAAAACAAGGAAATGGGCCTTTAGTATAGGATAAAGAATTCTTGAAGGCCCAAGTACGACATCAGAATGGACCAAAAAGACATCAGAAGACCCAAAAACCCAAAAGGATGAATTAGGAGCCAAGAATGGGTCGTTCCAAACTTCTAAAATGGTCTAGAAACCCTAGGTCAAAATGGGGCATTACCAATCTGGAACGGGCCATTTTGGCCCAGGTTGTTATAAGTTACCATCAAATACGGAACGAGTCATTTCGATTTTAGAATGGGTCGTTCCAAATTCAAAAATTGCTCATAACAGACTAGTCTAAAATGCCCCGTTCCGATGAAGTATAACGTCTATATATATATGAGCCTCGTGTACAGTGCTCAAGACTGGAAAAAATTGCCTACTAGAGTCCTATATAGCTCAAAAGCTTATCTTTCTCTCCTTTTTTTTGTATTTCTTGAGATTTGTGAGGACTTTCTAGAGTGCAAGGTTGCAAAAAAGTGCCTGTAGACACCTAATTTCGATCGGGACGAATACACAAGGAAGTGGACTTTTAACATAAGAACAAAGAGCCCTCGAAGGCCCGAAAACAACATCAAAATAGACAAACATGGCATCCAGAGGCCCAAAGACGCAAAGGGCCAGAATTAGGAGCCCGGAACAAGCCGTTCTCAAATTGGAATGGGTCATTCCAAGCTTTGAAAAAAGCCTATAACCCAAGGTTAGAACATCCCGTTCTGACCTAGTTTGTTACATTCAAAATTTAATTCCGGAATAGGCCATTCCGCTTTGGGAATGGGCTGTTCCAATTGATGGAGGACCATCCTTGGAGCTTCATGTGGGACCCATTACTAGGTTAGTCTCTAGGAGATTAGAAGAGGATATGAGAGCTAACACCCCTAGAGACATGCTTCTTATGGCTATAGAATATTGATCATTCTCCTAAGCCTTGTTAGAATAGAATATATTTTATTCCTATTTTGCCCTTGTCTTTAATTTCCTATTTTACCCTTGTATTTTGGGGTACCTTAAACATAGGATTTATTCTTTTCTTGTATTTCTCATTTTACCCTTGTATTATCGGGTGCCTTAGATTATGGGATTTTATTTTGTAACTAGGGTATTTTATTAAGGTTGAAAACTAGGTCTAGACGTGTTTTTTGGTGAGCATTGGATTTATTTTGGACTTGGCAAGGCTTAGGTCCAAGAGGAGGGCACCTAGGTTGCATGGTCTTATCATGCACCTAGTTGTAGCTTAACCAAACCCAAAGATTTCATCCTTGGCCACCAAGTAGCATCTAGGGTTAATTTAGGGTGCTTTTGAAGTGCATTTGGCTTGTATTACTTGGCCATGCACTCTCAAATGCAACCCTAAATGCTTTCTCCCTTCTATAAATACCCTAGGCTATCCATCTTGTAAACACTTTGGATTATTATGATATTGAGTGAGCATTTCATGCCTCAAAATCTTATCCTTAGTCCCTAGGTCAAATTTGGCTAAACTATTCATATCTCCACCATTGGTGAGTGATAAACCCTAGAGTGGCCTCTATCTTCATCTTAGAGTGTGCCAACCTACCATAAGAGCCTCCACCTTCCATGCCTCTTCCTTCCTCCATTTGAATGTCCAAATCATCCTTGAAGGCTAGACTCTCTTGGTGTGTCGTGATCCTTGGACAAAGGAGACTCCTCCATTGACTCATCCTTCATCAATGGAAGGGAGCTTCCATCACTAGTTTTAAATTTTGCATGCAACAGATACCTCCAAAACGGCCCGTTTTGATATTCGAAATGACCCGTTCTGGTGGATTTTCATGCCTATAAATGTGAGCCTCATGCATAGTGTTCAGGGACCGAAAACAGTAGAGTAGACTGTCTATTAAAGTTTTTATAGTTAGAAGTATTCTCTTTCTCTAATTCTTCTTGTATTTTCCTTTGATAGTTGTGAGGAATATTGTAGTGTGAAAGGTAGCCAAAAAGTTCCTTAAGACCACGACATTCAAGGCATTTATAAAAGTGCTCAAAGAGGTATTTTCATCAAATCTCTAATTCCCTTTATCTATTTCTTCAGTCATAAATAAGCCTACAGTTAAAAGCAACCATCTAGATGTTTTAGGGTAAATTGTGTAAATTTAAATTCTAGCATGTAAATAATAATCAATAAAGGAAACTAAATATTTAAATTATTGCTCCATATTGCTCTAATTTCATCATCAAGGTACCAATTTACGGTGTTGTAGGATGCCTAATAGCTTCCC